AAATTTTATCTCCCCATTGTTGTGACCAAAATTTCACATCAGATTCCTCAGAATGAGTTTCCTGGAGAAAAAAACAATTTGCCTGTTGCCCCTTGCAGAACAGAAAAACAGCTTTGCGCTTAATTGAGTCTTTAAGTCCCCTTGTGTTAAAGGAAAAAAAAGAAATATTAGTTTTTAGTTGGAACACGGAACACATGAAAAGCTTTAAAGAGGAAGTTTAGGAGATGGAGTAGGAAAATCTTGAGGTAAAAGTCCCATCATCCGAAATGTTCCACTGTATATTCCTTTCGTAGTCAGATGTCAGCCCGTACCTGGAGTCTCTACCCTGATACGTTTGCCTTCTATGAAACCAAAAGGGCCCCTGAAGCCTGCAGCCTTGCCTTCCTTCCGAGCCTGGTCGATTTTTGGCCACAACGCTTGTCTGGCTCTCCAGTCCTCTGGGGTCAGGTCTTCAGCAAAGCGGATGCCTTCTTCTTTGCACACGGGAGAAGCCTTTGTTCGCCTCCAGATATCATCTCTCACGGCACGTCTCACAAACAGAATGATGATTTGTCGATGCTTATTCTCCACCGCTCTTCCCACTCTGTGGACAACATCAACTGCTTCTTCCATCTTCATCTTTAGGTCCGGAGCAATCCTTCCTAGAAGTTCCACCACTTCTTCTCTGATATTTTCATTTGTTTTCTCCTTTTTCCCTTTGATACGAAGACACCATCTTCTTTTGTATCTTTCCTGGCTCAATACACGATCCTTAATATCGTCATTATCTTTTTTGATTGATTCCATCTCTTTTTCCAGGTGTTTTATTTTCTTTTTGCATTCTTGCAGCTCCTCTGAATTAAACTGCACTGATTTAGCGATGGAAGCCAGCATGGCGCTATGTTGTTGAATTTGTTTGCTAACTTCGTCCATGCGGTCATCAACACGTTTTCCAAGACTCTCAATAGCTTTCAGTATAGTGTCAGTGGATGTGTTGGAGTCATTATCACTAGCCGTACCTTTTGCTTTTTTCTCCATATGTGGTTTCTCAGGAGTATTATCAGGGGTTGTTAACAGTCTGTCCCTCTTGTTGCTGCTGGAATCAGCCGTTTCCATCGGAGCTGGGTAGTCATGCTTGCTGTTTCTCTGGGTTGTAAAAGGGAGGTTTTTCACTGCCGGAGGTTTCGTGTTGTTGGTTTTCTTCATGTTCGGGCTGAAACGTCGTCAATATAGCTCAAAGGAGTGGATTTTATAACTTCAAGATTAAAACATCGGGACTTCAGTGAGGAGTTCAGACGGATGCGACTGCTTAGTCCGCCATCTTGCCCCCCCCTCCGCCGTCGGTAACTGTCGCAAGGTTGGCAAAGAGAGGAAATGACGTAACATTCACGCATGCGTGGTACCGATCGGATTTCCGGTACGGATCGGGTAGTGACACGTGTTTACGCTGTTTCCATAGCAACACCGGAAGTGGGCATCGGCTTTGTTTTCCACCTTCTTTGCTACTTTGTACGTTATGATAAGTTCGTCAGATCAGGGCTTTGAGACTTTATTTTGTCGCTGAACTGAATTTATTTGAGGAAGAAAGGTTGTTGATTTCAGAACTCATCGTTTGTCTCGTTTGCTTAGTTTAGGACCATCTCAGCTTTAATATTTCATCTAATAATTTAATAATTTAAAGAAGCACCTGTTTTCATTTGGCAGTTCATTCAGAGTTAAACCCTCCCACTTCTGTGTTCCTTGTCTGTCTATTGTTTGCATGCCCCGTGTGTTCATGATTAATAAACTCTTTAAAATTGCCTTCTTGCCCGCATTTTGGATCCTCACCTCCGCTGCACTCACCTGCACACTCCGTGACACCAGCCTCTTTCTATTGAAGTGGGGCGACACCAAGGGTTAGCGGAGGTGCGACGTCAGTGTGTTTTATGTGACTTAGTTCAATTTCATTTCTTGTTTTATAGTCCATCACATAACGATCTAAGAATGTCCCTGTTGGAAAAGATCCAGAGTAAAAATCCTCATTTGTTCTGCAGATGGTGAAATGTTAAGTTGGCTTTTTGACCAAGAAATTTTAACATTAGCAAAATTTATAGAGAGCGTGGAAACAGACAAATGGTACTTTATCCTGCTATGGAAAACAGAGGAGGAGCCAGATATTCCATTCACCCGGGGCTTAGCCCTGACGCTGGCTATTATCCAGTGGCTAATGTGAATGCAATAGGACTCGTCGTCGTCTTCCTCCGCTTATCCGGGTCCAGGTCGTGGGGGCAGCATCCCAACTAGGGAGCTCCAGACCGTCCTCTCCCCGTTCACCTCCACCAGCTCCTCCGGCAGGACTTCAAGGCGTTCCCGGACCAAATTGGAGATGCAACCTCTCCACCGTGTCCTGGGTCGACCCGGGGGCCTCCTGCCGGCAGGACATGCCCGAAACACCTCCCCAGGGAGGCGTCCAGGAGGCATCCTGACCAGATGCCCAAACCACCTCAACTGACTCCTTTCGATGTGGAGGAGCAGCGGTTCTACTCCGAGTCCCTCCCGAATGTCCGAGCTCCTCACCCTATCTCTAAGGCTGAGCCCGGCCACCCTACGGAGGAAACTTATTTCGGCCGCTTGTATCCGCGGTCTCGTTCTTTCGGTCATTACCCAAAGCTCATGACCATAGGTGAGGATTGGGACGTAGATCGACCGGTAAATCGAGAGCCTGGCTTTCTGGCTCAGCTCCCTCTTCACCACGACAGATCAGCTCAGCGTCCGCATCACTGCAGACGCCGAACCAATCCGCCTGTCGATCTCCCGATCCCTCCTACCCTCACTCGTGAACAAGACCCCGAGATACTTAAACTCCTCCACTTGAGGTAGGACCTCTCTCCCGACCCGGAGTTGGCAAGCCACCCTTTTCCGGTCGAGGACCATGGCCTCAGATTTGGAGGTGCTGATCCGTAATAGGACTGTTAAGGCAAACCATCATGAATGAAAAGAAAACATCAAACACCAGGACTGAAATGGTATTGGTTCAAAAGCAGGACTTCAGAACTGGAACTGATGGAAAACAAGATGGCCATGCATCACAAAAGACACAGGGCTTCTGCAAAAACAGCTTGGGCTTAAGCCCCATAAGTGCCTCCCTTACTCCACCCCTGATGTAAAATAAAGGTTGTGTAAATGTACGGCCACTTCTTTATGTTTAAAAGTGTCTTATGAGCCTGTCTGGTCTGGGCACGTGTTGTGCATGACACTTAAATAAACATATTCATTCATGTAGAACGTTAGGAGGCATGAAAACCATTTTTAGGCTAATTGGTCATTGCAGCTTTAACACTAGAACTCTGTCGTTTTGACTGTTTTCATATTTGGATGTAATAACTTTAGTCAGATGGATCTCCGGGCTTTTCCTATTTCTGTTTGTTCTTTATTTGGGTTAGAATTTCCATAAAATAATGTGTCCAAAAACACGGTTGTTTTTGTCTTTGTTTCCCACAAGCCGTCAGACGAAAAAGATCCATGTCGGTCGCCCAGCAAACAACGGAGACTTCTTTTCAAGGTTTGGATTAAAAGGATATTTCCATACCTCATTATTAGGTTCACACATCCATAAAGAGTTAATTAATAATACACTTGAACCGTTTTGTTCCTGTCATCACCAGCCTGCATTTAATGGCCAAAATGGCTGCTGTCAAACTGACGGTTACTGGAAATTCTAGTGAAGTTGGAATTCTGGAAGTTCTGGTGTCAGCGCTATTTCTCTAAACAGAGGCTGTTCAGGAAGCTGTCTACAAAAGGTAAAATTGCATCATCTTAAACCCCGAAACCCTTAAAAATGAACAAATATGCCTTCAAGGGAGTGATTCTCACGAAGCCGCAGGAGTCTCAGGTGATTCAGGGGCTGAATAAAAACTGAAGGCATCTCCCACGCTGCAGATCCAATAATAAAACAGGTCCTAGTTATTTTTAAAGCTTCAAAAATGAAGCAGCCCAGGGATCATTTACTTCTCTTGATGTCAACTTTTGATGTGATGGTTTTAATTCCCACCTTCAAGTCTTTTAGACCACCTGAAGGCCGAGGCAGGATCCAGGCTCCACCGACTCTCAGCAGGCGGATGATGACAGCATGAAAAGCTCAGTGGGTCAAATGTTCAACACGAGAAAAGGTGTGTCCCAGCTGGGAGAAAACGCTGCATCATGATCATCGGCTCTCCCAATTACAAGCAACATTACCTGAGAGCTCGACGGAGGGCCAAGGAGTTTATGGGTTCTGGCAAAGACTCAGTGTGGACTTTAGACTAACACCAGAGCCAGAAATCAGAAACACACACCTAAAGCCACTCCGTCATCTACAACCCACACCTGTGTGTGTGTGTGAGACCTCTAATCTCAGCTCTTTAACCTCTCCTCCCCAGACTTTTACCCGGTAATCAGGAAGTCACTCAGATCCAATCTGCTGGAGCTTCCTGTTGGATCCAGCAGAGATGCTCCTGACAGCTGGAGCGTCCTTCTGGGACAGCTTCCAATCAAATGTCACTGCTACTCATGGAAGATATGCATTAATAAAAACATAACAGGAGACATTTAAATGGTCATGACAGGGTCATTTTAAACTATCTGATGCCATCTGCTGGCCAGGGCAAGTGTTAATGATACTACAGCCAGCAGGTTTGTCTTATCATGATCTCTTCTTTCTAGAGAATGACGCAGGAAAAGTCTGCTCAGGAACACTTTTGCTCCCAAAGAAACAGACTGATTTTCCATGACCCCCTCGGGAAATCAAAGTCTGAGTAATTCCACTTCAGAACAAACTGAATAATTACTTAAAAAGACCAGAATCAAAAATGGAGGAAAAAGTTTAAGAATTAGTTAAAAAATGACAATAATGAAGAAGTGAACATGGGAGCCCAAAAATACAGGTGCTACAGAAACTGCAGCATGTGAGGAAGAGGAGGGTTGCAGAGCGGGTCTTCATGTGTTCATCTGAGATGCTTTAATAACATGAATAATGATTTTTAAATGATCACACGAGGCAGGACTGAGAGTGAAAACTTTATTTTTCATGTTGCAACAAGGAGTGGGTGGGTGGGTCAAAACCTCTGGAGAAGTCAGAGCAGCTTTGGAGAGGGTTGGAGGTTAAAACAGCATCAGCTGATCTCACATAAAAGCAACATTTTATTTTCAGAAAACACAAACGTTTCCCGGCTGTTGCCGACATCAGATACACGCAAACACGCAGCTTAACTGAAGCCTAAAGTTTGTATTTTATTCTGATTTAAATCAGCCTGAGCATTCTCTTCACAAGACTGTCCGACAACGGAAGAGTGCCTTCAGTCAGAGGCTTCTTCAGTTTGGCTGCAACACTGACCGCTACTGGAGATCCTTCCTGCCAACAGCCATTGTAATATACAATAACTCTTGGATGACTTGATTATTATTATTATTCAGAGCTACTACAGCAATCAATTTCCCTCTGGGATTAATAAAGTATTTCTGAACTGAATTGAATGTAAAGATTTTTCCTGCAAATGGAAGAAAGTAAGCCACTACTGTGCATTTCTTCTCCCCCTGAAGCAGGTCTGGTCTTGGTTCTCAGATCTGGATATTCTGTGGATTTTCTGAAAAATGACTTCTGAAATGACTTCTACTGGGACACCGCCAGAAAAACCATCCATCCGTCTACAAAGACACACTAGATAGGATACGTGGCACCAACCATACTGTAACAGATGTAGTGGTGGGGTGACTATGGTGTCAGACTGGTGTGTAGTTTTGTGCAGGTTCTCCTCCCGGTCGTGGCATCAACTTTTTTTTTCCTAGCTACTCTTGCCAATATTGTGTTTTCAACCCTTTATTGGTAAACGGTTTAAAATATAACAACTAATCAGTTTGTTTTTACCTTCTTTGTTTATTTAGCCAGTGTGGGTCCAGAGTTTAAACTAAAATGCTGCTTAGAAACAACCAAATTCAAATACCTTTTTAGAGACATAAAATATTTTGTAGAAAATAATCAATAAAACTAAAATATTAATAAATAAAATCTGTTTCAGTTGGCTAAATACATTACTGCCGACCCCAGTGAGAGTCAAACCAGCGTCAGCAGAGGGCAAAACGAAGCATAAGTCAGACCGTTACACCACTGGACTACCAGAGCTCATACAATAATCGGTTAGCCTAAAACCCTGGTTTAGGCGCATTTTGTCGGAGCGGCCGTGGGCAGAAATTTGCTGAAAAGAACCTTTCATTTCATGTAGCAAATTATACTTATCTTGCTTAATTGGAATTTAGTATTAACAACTGTAAACTAGTAACAGCCGTAGTTCATGTAGGTCAGGTTAGTTTGCAATAAAGTAAAAAAACAAAACAAACAAAAAAAAAAAACAAACAGAAGAAGTCAGTGGGCTGGGCTGAGTTTGCGTGAATGGGCGGGGCTGACTCTGGTGCAGATCCACCTTTGTGATTCTGCACTACTTGAAAAAACACAAATTAATGGCATAAAAACCTGAAAGGAAAAAAAGGTTAAGCAACTGGGAATGGATGGATGGTCCACTTTTTCCAGTTCCAGTAGTGAACCAGTTCTTCGTGTTCCCATTACCAAGAGCTCTGGCTGTTCTCCCAGCACCATCTGCTGGTTCCAAGAGAACAGCTGAGGAAAACATGAGCTCCAAGTCTAAAATCTCTGAGTTGGTTTCACTTTTACTCAGATCAGCAGCTCATTTAGAGACACTCAGAGCTTCTTTCCTCCAATAAATTCAGTTTTTCTGCTTTCAAGAATTGTATATGTTCTTACCTAAAATCCTGGAATTTGGGGGCGGGGGAGGGAAAAGCTACAAATGGGTGGTTTTCTTACAATAGTCGTGTATGTCTAATCTGTCTGACAGATATTATGGGTCACAAGACTATTTTTTAAGGACAAGCACAGGAACCTCTTTGGTGTAGAAACCCTGTTAGAGGCAAGACACTAGCAAGGTGGAGGTGGTGTAGTGGTTTGGGTTAGGGTAACCCTGTTTGAGCCAGGGTTAAGCTTGGTTTATGGTTGACGCATTTACTTTCCGCTTGGTGATGCGGCTCGCGGATGGAACGCGCTTCACAACTTGCAGCGTTTATGGTTCAAGCGGCTTGTCTCTGCGGTGAGCCGATATTCTCCCAAACTGTAGGGGGCAGCATGGAGCTCTACGACATGCATCCAACACTACACCATAGTAGAAGTAAAAATTACTGTTGTTTACAACATGGCATTCCAGCATTTTTAACAGGGTCCTTGTCTTTTCTGACAGTGCGAGCTATTTCTCACCAAGAATTATTAACAACATGTTGATCGCGGTGATCTCTGAGAGCTGAATCACACAAATGTCTGTATTTATGAACCTCTGCCATACTAGTTCTTGCCGGTCCGCCATGCTTTTCCGCGTCCGACCGTCCGCGTGGTTAGAAAATTTCCTAGGTGCGCGCTGCGGAAATTTTGGGCCGTGCGGAGGTGCGGTGGAGGGGCGTGGTTGTTAAAATGACGCAACTTTTCCGCGCGGAGCCGTGCGGACCTCACGGACGCGTCAAGCATAAACCAACCTTTAGGATTAGAGCCACAACAAAAGCAAGGTGGAGGTGTTGTAGTGGTTTCGGTTAGGGTAACCCTGTTAGGGCCAGGGTTAGGATTAGACCCAAGGTGGAGGTGGTGTAGTGGTTTGGGTTAGGGTAACCTCGTTAGAGCCAGGGTTAGGATTAGACCCAAGGTGGAGGTGGTGTAGTGGTTTGGGCTGTTACAGTTACTGGAGGAGACTGTGGTCGGCAACATTCAGCTGGGTTAGTGTTAGTCAGCATGGTCTACCAGGAGATGTGTTGTTCTTCTGAGCCATGATCTGCCCACAGAGGGGATACAGTGGAGCTCAACACATCATGGCTGTATTTAATAGTGTTTTTTTTTAGATGTCATTTATTAAAAAATCCTCTATATGATGGAAACAAGTAAAGAATGATTTCACATTTTCATTTAGGTGAAATAATTGTCCACAGACATGTGAACACCAGAGAACAGACCGTTTTTGACTGAGAGCTCTGCATTTGTTCCATTGTAATGTTGTTTATAACAACGACAAGAATATAGATGGATCTGTGTTCTCATCTCTGGGTCCCTCACAGCTCCACGGTGCGCAGATGTCCACGAGGAGAGACAGCAGCCAACACGCTCGGAGGTAAACACTCAGACTTCTCAGTGGTGCTGCCGCAGCAGGACCAGTGGGGCTTCCCGGGATGTCCCTTATGACCGTGACCACAGCCTTTAAACCCTCCTGCAGAGACACAGGAAGGACATCTAGACGGGCTCACGCTCTGGTCCATGTGAATGAAACATCTCGCATTCATCAGGCCAACAAAGACCCTCATGATGACCCCAACAGAGATAGAATGGTTGGAGCGTTAGCTCGTGTTTATAGAGCGCCTGCTACAAACTAAAAGTTTAGAACTTTTCATTTCCACATCTTGGTAAGATACCAAAGACCAGGTGTGACACAGTGACAGCTTCCTGTGTGAGCGGACTTGTCCCCAGTACCTGACATCGTTCCTGCGCAGCCACAGATTGCCTCTTTGGCTCCTCCACTGGAGCAGAAGGAGCAGCAGTGGAACGTCCCACCGTGGTGTCTGAACTTCTTCTTCACATTCAGCAGGAACGGAGAACCCTGCAGGGAGGAGAGGGGAGCTGTGAGCTCCAGGTGAGTCCAGCACCTGTCTACCTGTATCCTTTGTTTGGGTGCAGCCCTTAGTACCTTCACATGCTGGGCTTTGACACAAACCCACACAGAGTAAGGTCCTGGTTCCTCAGGCTTGTATGAAACGCTGTACGTTCCATCAGCGTTGTCCACCACCACCGTCTCCACAGCGCTGAAGGACACAACCATTAATGGGTATTATAAAGTATACATACCAAATAATCATTACCAACAAAGCATCCCCCACAGAGGCGGGCAGAGCCCTCACCAGTTCTTCTTCTCTTTGTGGACGATGCTGACGAGGACCTGCTCTCCTCCTCGAGCCATCTGCTCCCCGGCTGAGTCTCGACACACCAGGCTAAAACGGCCCGGCTGGCCCTCGCTGCCCCGCCGCAGACCTGTAACCAGGCTAAAGGTTAAAGGTCACACAGCTGAACACAGACAATGTACTGCAGGACTAAGAGGATAAATCTAAACATAGCTTGTTCATGTGTAAGGGGCACCAGCCAGGAAGCTCTTTTAAGATCTGCTGTTGACTCTTAATGTGGATTTGGATGTTTAGCCTGCTGTAATGTGGAATTAACTCTCATTCCCCAGCCCACCCATGACTCCCGTCCTTCCTAACGCTGCCAACTGCTTCCAGATCAGCTCCGGATGCTGATCAGTTTTCCAGACTCTCCCGCTTTCACTCACTCGAGACATCCAGCTGCTGCTGCAGTCGTGTCACTGCTGACAGACTTTGTGTTCGCATCAATGATTAATGTCACGCTGGACATCTGTCAGACTGATTATCTGATCACTCAGTGTTGTCCACAAGCAGCTGAGATCCTGAAGCCGCTGATGTTGATGAAACCGCTGCTACTGCAGAAACGGTGGACAGAGATGCCTCAGATGTTAAACCGCTGATAGATGATTAATTTGGGTCAAAACTGAAATAACGATTATTTGTGTTAAAGTTTTTACATTTCTGAGGTCGTGAAGCCTTAAAGCTTAAATACTTTGCAAATTTTCAAGTCACTTTCTTGAGCCAGTGTGTGCTAAAACAACCCTTTACAGCACATATGTCAGAGTCAAGGCCCGCGGGCCATATATAACCCGAGCAAACCTACTGTGGGTTCCTGAGGTGAGAACATGAGTAGAACACGTTTTTGTTTCCAGACCTTCTGAAGAGTCTGCTCTAAATAAATGACTGTCTCCAGAAAGTGTCCTGAAGCTTTCTGTCTACATGTCTGGACCTGACAGCATCCTCTAAGGACATTCCCAGAAGGCATGTTGAGTCACACCGGCATTCCTTTGGTTCAGGAGGAATTCTGGAACGCCCACTGGTCTATCAGCTCAGTCTGACCACTGACTTGTTTCTGTGACCAGTAAAACAGGATGTGCAAACCCAGTCCCGAGATCACCTTCTCTTTATCTTACAGGAACACAGACAGAACACCACTTTGCCTTTGTTTACCTTCTCCTTCAATGGTGCACCTGCTGACATCCAGCGTCCTCCAGTTAATCACACCCACCACTGGGTAGCCCTCCACCTCTCCGGCTGGCTCTCTGGGCAGGAAGCAAATGCTGCTGCTATCGTCTGGGGCGACCGCCGCTGGACAAGGGTTATAGCCTCTCTCTGCCAGGCTGGCGAGTCGTCTTAGAGTCACTCCTTTAGCGCTGAGGATCTCGGCGTCAGACCCACAGCTCAGGAGGCGCTCGGCAAACGCCACACTGCCTCGGACATCCAGCAGGCCCTGCTGCAGCTGCACGCTCTGCAGGTGGAGGACGTTTCTGTGGGAAACAGATGAGGCTTGGGTTCAGTGGTCCTGCTGTTAAAAGGTTACAGGTTACTGAAGAATAACCAGCTGCTCAGGGTCAGATTTGATAGGATGATTAATGGAAGGAGTTCCATAAACTCTGGTTCTCGCTACAGATTTAGCTCTGCAGACCGGTCTAGCCACTCTGCACTGTAGCAGAGACAGTCTGAAGGACAACTGTAGACTCCGTCCCACGGCTGTGTGGGTCATGGCCAGACAAACTGTGCATTTGATTTGTCCTCGGAAATCCCCACCTCCGAGTAGGAAAAATCAAATGATAAGCAGGATACTGGGAAAAAGGGGATCTCTGATTAGGCCGTTTTCCACCAATCAGTTCCAGCTGAGCAGCAGAAGACGGGTGGATAAATGTTTCCTAAGCATTCACTTCCTGTTTAGCTTTGATGTTTTTATCACTTCATTCTTTCTGTTCTGGTTAGAAGAGCTTCACGAACGCGGTTAATACGATTGTTCAGGGGTGGGAATTGAACGCATCATTTAGATTAATGTTTTACTCAAGTCCCACTCGTAGATGTTTAGTTTAAAGAGCTTAAAACCAAACAAAAAAACATTAATATAATTAAGGGCAGAGAAAATGTTACTACCAAACTTATTTATTAGCCTCGAGGGCCTTAAAGTAGCTTTTCCCCTTTCAGAAATGATGTATGATTGTCAGAAATCCGTAAAAGTGATTATCTCATCATGTACTGTGATGTAATGTAGAAACTAAGACAAGTTTTTTTTGTTTTTGCTAACCACGCCCCCTGCCCCACAGAGCTCTGTGCAATAGGAAACGGAGTGCAGACCAGAACTAACCAATATCATTAGACTACCGCTTAGATGCTTCAAATTTAAGGAATACCTCGACTGATGCAGAGTTGATGAACTTTTCACGAACAAGTAAGTCTCTAAGATATAAATATATGAGAACAAAACATGACATGAGAATAATACTTGTAAAACAACATGTTTTAGCTGTTTGTCGGCTACAGAAGAACATTTATAAACAGAAATGTGAAGTCACCATCTTAAAAGGAACTCCGGCTAAGAGGACGTGGATGCCCTAATAAGCCACAAGTTTTCTGTTGTATCAAACTATGTTGTTAGAAACACACAAAATATAGCCGTTTATTTATATATCTAAAATATTAAGTACATTTTTTGACATATGCAGGACGCCATGCTTTCTGCATGCAATGCACTCTAGGGGCAATGACGGATATTGGCTGCACTTGGAAGAATAGCTATTGACGCTAGTGTTTGTTTACGCGCTCACTGTATTAATTATTAAGTAAAATGCTGCATTGTGCTGCTTTTGGATGTAATTTCCAGTCAGAGGGCAACAAGGGGAGTGATGTGACTTTACACAGCTTTCCCACTGGCAAGAAGAGGAGAAAGCAGTGGGAAGATGCCTGTGGACGGACACAACTTCCCAAAGAAAGTTTCAGAATTCTAAAAGAAGGCTGTGTTCCCAACATTTTTCTCCTGATGCGTTTGAGGCTTATAGTCAACCACAAATACTTTAAGAGCTCACCGGAGCGGCTGGGTATAAGAGAGGGCAGAAACTAAATGCTTTACTGGCCATTTTCCCACACAAGGGGCCTAAACACCCTCGGAGAGACGAGAGACGCTGGACACTCTCCTGAGCCGACAATCAGCTCCTGCAGCTGCCGCTTCTGTCACGTTCAGCGAACCATCTGACACGCCACTCGCCACGGATGCAGCTGAACATTCACCTCTCTCGTCAGTAAAACAAGCAGTAAGTGTAGCAACAGTGTTCTCCAAATATATATCGTAAATCCTCTAATACAGGCAGGCATTCAATTAAAGGCCGGGTCTCCAATTTTGGCCGCGCCATCTCCAACGCCAGTTCAAAGCGTTCTAGAGAAGTTGTCGGAGTGGCCAATCCGTAACTTTCCTCTTCAGCCAAAAGAACCAACGACAAGCTGGATAAAATCTGTTGCTGTTCCAACTGCTGCAACGGTTCATTTCACAATAAAAGCTGAACCATCACGACCCAGGTTTGGGTCTCGCTAGATGCCAACAAACTGTCGTGACCTGGGAGTATCTCAAGACTGGTGGTCGGCTGCCGTGGCTCTTCTACATGCTCCGGCTCCACAAGGTCAAGCTGGACCTCTACACCTCCTGATCTAGACGGGTACGTAGACCGACAAATGGCGTTGAATGTGTTTATGAACCTTCTAACCAAAGCTTAATGCGAAGACATCACCTTCATTTCCCCTCAGAACTAATCGTTTCTTCGGATTTGCTGGTTCTGAGCAACATTCCACACTACACCATTCTCCGTCTCACTCACCTTAGTTACACCATACATTTAGTGTTAAAGTTAGTCTAGTTTAATTTGTTTAGTAATAAATCTTTAAACTTTTAAACTTGACTCGCTCTTCTGTTGTCTCTGAGTGAATTCGAAGCTGTTATCTAATCCCTGCAATAAAAAGTTCCAATCTTCTGGTTAAACAGTACCCACAGTCAGATCCATAAGGTGGATTTCATATTTACTATGGAATCATATGGCTTATGGCTTATTAAATAACATGTAATTTAAATCATTACAAAACACTTCTGGTAACCCTTAGCTACTTTCTACTGTCGCTTATAATTCCTGCAGGTCAGAGCGTCCTTCTGGACATTCGGAAGGGAATGCTGTAGTGAAGTGTTTCGTTTACAAAATGAAACGGCTCTAAGGCCTAGCTCCCAAGCCGCTGAGAAAATGTGCGTGCGCGGCACGCGCCGTGAGACGGGGTGGAGGGTTAAACTCCTTCAGTCATGAGCAAGTGTATCGGCTCCTTTGTACTAGGAATCAGTTGTTTTTGCGATTACCTTGTTTCTTTCTATTTTTCATGTTTTTTTCTCTCTGATTGTGCAATCATATGAGCAAATACAAACATATAAACATAAAATCAACATTAATTTAAAAATCATCTTAAATAATCAAGATCTCAGTTTCAGTTAAATAATCGTGATGATCATGTCTGCCATAATCGAGCAGCCCTGGTTGCTACTACTGCGCGGAAACCCCGTCGTACCTGCGCTGGACCTGAAGCTCCTCTAGGCGCCGCAGCAGAGACAGACAATGGGCCTCCACAGCGCTGGCGTAGCCTCGAGCAAAGGCTCTGATCTCACTGGCTGTTGCCTCGACCCGTACCTTCAAATTCTCCTGGGAAGTTTCCACCTGAAGCAGGATATCAGGAAAAATTAAACAAAATAAAAAACAAAGCTTAACAAGCCGCACCACCAAGTGTGTTTTAGATAACAAAAGAATGGGCTTAGAGACGGCCTCTCTGAACCTTCTGTAGAACTTCCTCCATCTGCTCCAGTCGGGGTCGTAGACGCGTGCTGACCAGATCTCGAATACGGTCACCGTGATGGTCGATGACGTCGTGCGTAGGACAGCAGTGGTGGTCTCTGTGCAGCGTGGAAGCGCAGTCCAGACATACGGGTAGGTCGCAGAGCTGACAGAAGAGCCTGAGCTCCTGGCCGGGGTGAAGAGAGCAGAGGATGGGACGACCAAGACGTCCACGAGCCTTCAGGTCCTCCACCGCCTGAACAGAGTGAGACGCTGTTCGCTTCTGACGTCTGGACACGATGCAGAGAGCAGGTTTTCACACATCTGGATAGGCTCATGAGCACCACACCACTAGGTGGCAGTAACTCCCACATTAATGACAAATCAAAATACAAAGGAAGGTTTCAGCTTTGCTGAAGATTCTCTGAACACTTTAGTATTAATCTTTGTTGCTTAACTGAGTTCTTGAGGGTTTAAGTGGACGGGCCATGCCCTGGATCAACACAAACGCTTTGTTGAGTGTTAGGGTGAGAGCATCTGGACAAAATGAGACAAACTAAGGCCGTGTAATTCAACTATTTGTTCTAAATTACTACCTAAACAAGTTAGTTAACAAAAGTGTGTATTCTTATTGAAATGTTTTCACATTAAACTTTGTAAACATGTTCATATTGTCCTTCTGAAGGCTAGTCTGAAGGTGTTTTGAAAAAATGATCAGCTCAACAAAGGTGATAGAATGAGGGCAAAACCCACTGAACCGTTTATGACATGCATCAACTGACCTGTAGTAAAGCTTCCAGAGATATTATTTTGTACATTCCCATGCCCCGAGGTTCATGAAAAGCACATTTATACAAGTTCTAACCCCGTTTGGATAGTAGTGGCTCAGCTTTTGTTTAGATACATTTTAGGCATGTGCATTTTAATATAGTGGCTCCAAATCAGGAATGTCCGTAGGGCTATTTGTGGCCTTCTGTGATTTTGCACAGCCCCCAAATGCATATCTAGAAGGATGAACTTTGTTTCTTTAATAGGCTAGAGCAGTGGCGGCTCCAGAAATTTTTTTTCTGCAGGTGCTATGAAGGAGCTAGTTTTTTTATTGAGGGTGCTATGAAGGAAGTGGTCATGCGTACCTATTGTTCTCTAAAACACCTTCAACACTAGCAGATACACATGCGTGCACAAAACCTCAACAACACCTGAAACAATCATTAATATACATCATAAACATATGAACAATCGCTGACTTGTCCATGAAATCATAAACACATACAGCCACACAGAAAACCATCTATAGTGTTGCAAGGTAAGCTAACGTTAGTGTTAGCATTTCCAGCGGCAAAACCCTCGACTACTGCGGCGGTTGAGGGTTGACTCTCTTCATCCAGATCCGTATGTTTTTGTGGGTCTGAGATCACTTCCAAAGATTCATTTGTTTCTGACTGAACCCGTGGAAATGTGGGCAACAAAAACCGATCCATTTTACCACTAGCTCTACCTTTCACTCGTTCGCAGGTGGAAAATGAGGTCAAAGGTTAACATCAATTTCCTGTTTTGGTTTAAGATTTTATTATCTACATGATAATTTCCTCATTATTTTTGTTTTGTATGTTAAATATTATCACAACCACACGTTACATTAAAATTAAATTGTAAAAAACGTATAAACGGAAGTCGCCTTTCCAGCTCACCACTCAGTCATCGTTTCTTCAGATTCACGATCAGAGTTTCCAACGTACCGATCAATCCAACGAACTATCAGCTCATAGTAAGTTATCTTACTTACTTCTGGAAAGCCCGGCATTTCCGTGTCACTTCGTTGACGCTCGAACGCTTGGGGGTTTCCTAGATCAGCCGGCGTTTCACCGACACTATCACTTCCGCGTCTGTGAAACCACGCTCCCTATTGAATTATCGTATGATCACATTCTCTTTTTGGGGGTAAAACTCAAGTGCCAGACCGTAGGTACTGACACGCGATCGTTCATGTCGGTTCATTTCCTTTAATGTTTTCTGTCTTTTATTTGCGCCTGATGTGTATCGCTGCTGTGGAGCAGGGCGCTTCACCTTGTCCTCCGACGCACAGATCACAGCAGGGAGCGCTCAGCTGTTTTCGCGGTCGGTAGATCTGCCTCCTGAGCACGGCCACAGTAACAATCAGGTGTCGCCACCTCAAAAACTAATTTAACACGCGATCGTTCATGTCAGTTCATTTCCTTTAATGTTTTCTGTCTTTTATTTGCGGCTGATGCGTTTCGCTGCATGCTGTGGAGCGGGGCGCTGCGCGCATCACCTTGTCCTCCGACGCACTGATCACTGATACAGCCGCCAAACAGCAAGCGCTCCGCTGTTTTTGCGGTCGGTAGATCTTTTAGAACTGCAGTTCAAAGGTAACTCATGAGGTGAATATATATGAACCCAGGTAGCAGTTTTTTTTAGGATTGAGAGGAGATGCAGGAAGATAATAAACAGACAGGACAGAAAAATAGTCAAATAAAAACAAGTTAGTTTTTGTACCTGCTGGTTGCAACAAACAGACACCATTGAAGGTAATCAGAAGTGAGGAACAGAAAATGAAATAATTATTTTAATGTTTAGAGCAGCAGGAACTCTGAGAGGCTGCAGGTGCATCAGTGAGTTTGCGGCCGCTGCGCAGGGGGAGGGGGGAGAGGGCTGAAGCAGAAACTACCGTTGTTAAAAGAAATGTGTTTAACTTTGAAAATGTGGGCGCAATTTTAATTGTCAAAAACTCCAGCGAACCATTAGTTCATTTTGCTCAAATAGAAATAGAGGCCTGCCTCTAATACTGGCCCCCCTTCCAATAAAGGCCTGGAGCTTGATGAGCTCGAGTCAAATACAGGCCCGGGCCTGTATTAGAGGATTCACGGTATCCTCAGAAGTTTTAATCAACACCAAGCAGATAAATTCTACCTCCGGCTACTAAAACTCAATATCTGCAGTCTCTTTAAAAGTCGGACTCTGAAATGTTCTCCAACTCAATATCTATGTTTTAAAAAATGTGATTTTTAGTACCAAACTAGAGGTATTTGGATTTTGTTTCAACTCTAGAAAGGTTCTATCCCAAGAGCTGTAGCACAGCAGAGAAGGAAGATGAGGAGCTTGTGAGAATGTGCACCACCTGTGGGCTAAACTTTTCAATCTGATTGTGACATAAATAGACATGAAGCTAGGAGGTCTGGGCCTACTCCACCTGTGAGCTTGGCAGCAGAACTCGCAAAGGTTGACCGAGCAGACCTCACAGCGGCTCTCAGCGCCTCCTTCCCCGCACAGGTCGCATCCCAGCGGGCCGTTGGTCACCAGGGTCTCCAGGAACACTTCGTCCAGCGCCAGGTGGTCTGTACTCAGTCCGGCCGGACCCTGCTGAGGGAGGTCCACTTCGGAGTCACACTCGGGACACAGTACCGTTGTTGTGACGCTTTGTCGGCTTGTCTTCACCGCCTCTCCGCAACTCCCGTTCCCACGAGAAGACACCGAGAACGCCTCCAGCTGGCCGATGCAGTCGGAGCAGAACGTGTGAAGGCAGGGGAGGATTTTAGGGTCCCGGTAAAGGCGTTTACACACGCTACAGACCGCTCTGGGGTTCACCGGAGCGGGTTTAGGTGCATCCGAGCTCAGGGTGGGCTCTTTCTGCTCCGGCTGCGACATGGTTCGCTTTGAACGAGTCCAGGTACAGAAATCAGAGCAGTCAAACACCCAGCTCAGCAAAGTTGTCAAAGCTGGAAAACTTCCGTAAAGTCTTTTGGAGCATGTCCAGATAGCTATATAATCCGCTTCTCACGCGATAACCTGCGACATATTAAACGCCCCACACTAATAAACCACTTTTCTTCACCTCAACAGCCCCTTCGAAAAAGTTCGGTGACGTGTTCAGAGACGCCTGGGACATACGAACTTCACCCTGACAAACCAATGGGCGGCTCCCAGTTCCTGATCTAGACGTACCCGTCTAGATCAGGAGGTGTAGAGGTCCAGCTTGACCTTGTGGAGCCGGAGCATGTAGAAGAGCCACGGCAGCCGACCACCAGTCTTGAGATACTCCCAGGTCACGACAGTTTGTTGGCATCTAGCGAGACCCAAACCTGGGTCGTGATGGTTCAGCTTTTATTGTGAAATGAACCGTTGCAGCAGTTGGAACAGCAACAGATTTTATCCAGCTTGTCGTTGGTTCTTTTGGCTGAAGAGGAAAGTTACGGATTGGCCACTCCGACAACTTCTCTAGAACGCTTTGAACTGGCGTTGGAGATGGCGCGGCCAAAATTGGAGACCCGGCCTTTAATTGAATGCCTGCCTGTATTAGAGGATTTACGATATATATTTGGAGAACACTGTTGCTACACTTACTGCTTGTTTTACTGACGAGAGAGGTGAATGTTCAGCTGCATCCGTGGCGAGTGGCGTGTCAGATGGTTCGCTGAACGTGACAGAAGCGGCAGCTGCAGGAGCTGATTGTCGGCTCAGGAGAGTGTCCAGCGTCTCTCGTCTCTCCGAGGGTGTTTAGGCCCCTTGTGTGGGAAAATGGCCAGTAAAGCATTTAGTTTCTGCCCTCTCTTATACCCAGCCGCTCCGGTGAGCTCTTAAAGTATTTGTGGTTGACTATAAGCCTCAAACGCATCAGGAGAAAAATGTTGGGAACACAGCCTTCTTTTAGAATTCTGAAACTTTCTTTGGGAAGTTGTGTCCGTCCACAGGCATCTTCCCACTGCTTTCTCCTCTTCTTGCCAGTGGGAAAGCTGTGTAAAGTCACATCACTCCCCTTGTTGCCCTCTGACTGGAAATTACATCCAAAAGCAGCACAATGCAGCATTTTACTTAATAATTAATACAGTGAGCGCGTAAACAAACACTAGCGTCAATAGCTATTCTTCCAAGTGCAGCCAATATCCGTCATTGCCCCTAGAGTGCATTGCATGCAGAAAGCATGGCGTCCTGCATATGTCAAAAAATGTACTTAATATTTTAGATATATAAATAAACGGCTATATTTTGTGTGTTTCTAACAACATAGTTTGATACAACAGAAAACTTGTGGCTTATTAGGGCATCCACGTCCTCTTAGCCGGAGTTCCTTTTAAGATGGTGACTTCACATTTCTGTTTATAAATGTTCTTCTGTAGCCGACAAACAGCTAAAACATGTTGTTTTACAAGTATTATTCTCATGTCATGTTTTGTTCTCATATATTTATATCTTAGAGACTTACTTGTTCGTGAAAAGTTCATCAACTCTGCATCAGTCGAGGTATTCCTTAAATTTGAAGCATCTAAGCGGTAGTCTAATGATATTGGTTAGTTCTGGTCTGCACTCCGTTTCCTATTGCACAGAGCTCTGTGGGGCAGGGGGCGTGGTTAGCAAAAACAAAAAAAACTTGTCTTAGTTTCTACATTACATCACAGTACATGATGAGATAATCACTTTTACGGATTTCTGACAATCATACATCATTTCTGAAAGGGGAAAAGCTACTTTAAGGCCCTCGAGGCTAATAAATAAGTTTGGTAGTAACATTTTCTCTGCCCTTAATTATATTAATGTTTTTTTGTTTGGTTTTAAGCTCTTTAAACTAAACATCTACGAGTGGGACTTGAGTAAAACATTAATCTAAATGATGCGTTCAATTCCCACCCCTGAACAATCGTATTAACCGCGTTCGTGAAGCTCTTCTAACCAGAACAGAAAGAATGAAGTGATAAAAACATCAAAGCTAAACAGGAAGTGAATGCTTAGGAAACATTTATCCACCCGTCTTCTGCTGCTCAGCTGGAACTGATTGGTGGAAAACGGCCTAATCAGAGATCCCCTTTTTCCCAGTATCCTGCTTATCATTTGATTTTTCCTACTCGGAGGTGGGGATTTCCGAGGACAAATCAAATGCACAGTTTGTCTGGCCATGACCCACACAGCCGTGGGACGGAGTCTACAGTTGTCCTTCAGACTGTCTCTGCTACAGTGCAGAGTGGCTAGACCGGTCTGCAGAGCTAAATCTGTAGCGAGAACCAGAGTTTATGGAACTCCTTCCATTAATCATCCTATCAAATCTGACCCTGAGCAGCTGGTTATTCTTCAGTAACCTGTAACCTTTTAACAGCAGGACCACTGAACCCAAGCCTCATCTGTTTCCCACAGAAACGTCCTCCACCTGCAGAGCGTGCAGCTGCAGCAGGGCCTGCTGGATGTCCGAGGCAGTGTGGCGTTTGCCGAGCGCCTCCTGAGCTGTGGGTCTGACGCCGAGATCCTCAGCGCTAAAGGAGTGACTCTAAGACGACTCGCCAGCCTGGCAGAGAGAGGCTATAACCCTTGTCCAGCGGCGGTCGCCCCAGACGATAGCAGCAGCATTTGCTTCCTGCCCAGAGAGCCAGCCGGAGAGGTGGAGGGCTACCCAGTGGTGGGTGTGATTAACTGGAGGACGCTGGATGTCAGCAGGTGCACCATTGAAGGAGAAGGTAAACAAAGGCAAAGTGGTGTTCTGTCTGTGTTCCTGTAAGATAAAGAGAAGGTGATCTCGGGACTGGGTTTGCACATCCTGTTTTACTGGTCACAGAAACAAGTCAGTGGTCAGACTGAGCTGATAGACCAGTGGGCGTTCCAGAATTCCTCCTGAACCAAAGGAATGCCGGTGTGACTCAACATGCCTTCTGGGAATGTCCTTAGAGGATGCTGTCAGGTCCAGACATGTAGACAGAAAGCTTCAGGACACTTTCTGGAGACAGTCATTTATTTAGAGCAGACTCTTCAGAAGGTCTGGAAACAAAAACGTGTTCTACTCATGTTCTCACCTCAGGAACCCACAGTAGGTTTGCTCGGGTTATATATGGCCCGCGGGCCTTGACTCTGACATATGTGCTGTAAAGGGTTGTTTTAGCACACACTGGCTCAAGAAAGTGACTTGAAAATTTGCAAAGTATTTAAGCTTTAAGGCTTCACGACCTCAGAAATGTAAAAACTTTAACACAAATAATCGTTATTTCAGTTTTGACCCAAATTAATCATCTATCAGCGGTTTAACATCTGAGGCATCTCTGTCCACCGTTTCTGCAGTAGCAGCGGTTTCATCAACATCAGCGGCTTCAGGATCTCAGCTGCTTGTGGACAACACTGAGTGATCAGATAATCAGTCTGACAGATGTCCAGCGTGACATTAATCATTGATGCGAACACAAAGTCTGTCAGCAGTGACACGACTGCAGCAGCAGCTGGATGTCTCGAGTGAGTGAAAGCGGGAGAGTCTGGAAAACTGATCAGCATCCGGAGCTGATCTGGAAGCAGTTGGCAGCGTTAGGAAGGACGGGAGTCATGGGTGGGCTGGGGAATGAGAGTTAATTCCACATTACAGCAGGCTAAACATCCAAATCCACATTAAGAGTCAACAGCAGATCTTAAAAGAGCTTCCTGGCTGGTGCCCCTTACACATGAACAAGCTATGTTTAGATTTATCCTCTTAGTCCTGCAGTACATTGTCTGTGTTCAGCTGTGTGACCTTTAACCTTTAGCCTGGTTACAGGTCTGCGGCGGGGCAGCGAGGGCCAGCCGGGCCGTTTTAGCCTGGTGTGTCGAGACTCAGCCGGGGAGCAGATGGCTCGAGGAGGAGAGCAGGTCCTCGTCAGCATCGTCCACAAAGAGAAGAAGAACTGGTGAGGGCTCTGCCCGCCTCTGTGGGGGATGCTTTGTTGGTAATGATTATTTGGTATGTATACTTTATAATACCCATTAATGGTTGTGTCCTTCAGCGCTGTGGAGACGGTGGTGGTGGACAACGCTGATGGAACGTACAGCGTTTCATACAAGCCTGAGGAACCAGGACCTTACTCTGTGTGGGTTTGTGTCAAAGCCCAGCATGTGAAGGTACTAAGGGCTGCACCCAAACAAAGGATACAGGTAGACAGGTGCTGGACTCACCTGGAGCTCACAGCTCCCCTCTCCTCCCTGCAGGGTTCTCCGTTCCTGCTGAATGTGAAGAAGAAGTTCAGACACCACGGTGGGACGTTCCACTGCTGCTCCTTCTGCTCCAGTGGAGGAGCCAAAGAGGCAATCTGTGGCTGCGCAGGAACGATGTCAGGTACTGGGGACAAGTCCGCTCACACAGGAAGCTGTCACTGTGTCACACCTGGTCTTTGGTATCTTACCAAGATGTGGAAATGAAAAGTTCTAAACTTTTAGTTTGTAGCAGGCGCTCTATAAACACGAGCTAACGCTCCAACCATTCTATCTCTGTTGGGGTCATCATGAGGGTCTTTGTTGGCCTGATGAATGCGAGATGTTTCATTCACATGGACCAGAGCGTGAGCCCGTCTAGATGTCCTTCCTGTGTCTCTGCAGGAGGGTTTAAAGGCTGTGGTCACGGTCATAAGGGACATCCCGGGAAGCCCCACTGGTCCTGCTGCGGCAGCACCACTGAGAAGTCTGAGTGTTTACCTCCGAGCGTGTTGGCTGCTGTCTCTCCTCGTGGACATCTGCGCACCGTGGAGCTGTGAGGGACCCAGAGATGAGAACACAGATCCATCTATATTCTTGTCGTTGTTATAAACAACATTACAATGGAACAAATGCAGAGCTCTCAGTCAAAAACGGTCTGTTCTCTGGTGTTCACATGTCTGTGGACAATTATTTCACCTAAATGAAAATGTGAAATCATTCTTTACTTGTTTCCATCATATAGAGGATTTTTTAATAAATGACATCTAAAAAAAAACACTATTAAATACAGCCATGATGTGTTGAGCTCCACTGTATCCCCTCTGTGGGCAGATCATGGCTCAGAAGAACAACACATCTCCTGGTAGACCATGCTGACTAACACTAACCCAGCTGAATGTTGCCGACCACAGTCTCCTCCAGTAACTGTAACAGCCCAAACCACTACACCACCTCCACCTTGGGTCTAATCCTAACCCTGGCTCTAACGAGGTTACCCTAACCCAAACCACTACACCACCTCCACCTTGGGTCTAATCCTAACCCTGGCCCTAACAGGGTTACCCTAACCGAAACCACTACAACACCTCCACCTTGCTTTTGTTGTGGCTCTAATCCTAAAGGTTGGTTTATGCTTGACGCGTCCGTGAGGTCCGCACGGCTCCGCGCGGAAAAGTTGCGTCATTTTAACAACCACGCCCCTCCACCGCACCTCCGCACGGCCCAAAATTTCCGCAGCGCGCACCTAGGAAATTTTCTAACCACGCGGACGGTCGGACGCGGAAAAGCATGGCGGACCGGCAAGAACTAGTATGGCAGAGGTTCATAAATACAGACATTTGTGTGATTCAGCTCTCAGAGATCACCGCGATCAACATGTTGTTAATAATTCTTGGTGAGAAATAGCTCGCACTGTCAGAAAAGACAAGGACCCTGTTAAAAATGCTGGAATGCCATGTTGTAAACAACAGTAATTTTTACTTCTACTATGGTGTAGTGTTGGATGCATGTCGTAGAGCTCCATGCTGCCCCCTACAGTTTGGGAGAATATCGGCTCACCGCAGAGACAAGCCGCTTGAACCATAAACGCTGCAAGTTGTGAAGCGCGTTCCATCCGCGAGCCGCATCACCAAGCGGAAAGTAAATGCGTCAACCATAAACCAAGCTTAACCCTGGCTCAAACAGGGTTACCCTAACCCAAACCACTACACCACCTCCACCTTGCTAGTGTCTTGCCTCTAACAGGGTTTCTACACCAAAGAGGTTCCTGTGCTTGTCCTTAAAAAATAGTCTTGTGACCCATAATATCTGTCAGACAGATTAGACATACACGACTATTGTAAGAAAACCACCCATTTGTAGCTTTTCCCTCCCCCGCCCCCAAATTCCAGGATTTTAGGTAAGAACATATACAATTCTTGAAAGCAGAAAAACTGAATTTATTGGAGGAAAGAAGCTCTGAGTGTCTCTAAATGAGCTGCTGATCTGAGTAAAAGTGAAACCAACTCAGAGATTTTAGACTTGGAGCTCATGTTTTCCTCAGCTGTTCTCTTGGAACCAGCAGATGGTGCTGGGAGAACAGCCAGAGCTCTTGGTAATGGGAACACGAAGAACTGGTTCACTACTGGAACTGGAAAAAGTGGACCATCCATCCATTCCCAGTTGCTTAACCTTTTTTTCCTTTCAGGTTTTTATGCCATTAATTTGTGTTTTTTCAAGTAGTGCAGAATCACAAAGGTGGATCTGCACCAGAGTCAGCCCCGCCCATTCACGCAAACTCAGCCCAGCCCACTGACTTCTTCTGTTTGTTTTTTTTTTTTGTTTGTTTTGTTTTTTTACTTTATTGCAAACTAACCTGACCTACATGAACTACGGCTGTTACTAGTTTACAGTTGTTAATACTAAATTCCAATTAAGCAAGATAAGTATAATTTGCTACATGAAATGAAAGGTTCTTTTCAGCAAATTTCTGCCCACGGCCGCTCCGACAAAATGCGCCTAAACCAGGGTTTTAGGCTAACCGATTATTGTATGAGCTCTGGTAGTCCAGTGGTGTAATGGTCTGACTTATGCTTCGTTTTGCCCTCTGCTGACGCTGGTTTGACTCTCACTGGGGTCGGCAGTAATGTATTTAGCCAACTGAAACAGATTTAATTTATTAATATTTTAGTTTTATTGATTATTTTCTACAAAATATTTTATGTCTCTAAAAAGGTATTTGAATTTGGTTGTTTCTAAGCAGCATTTTAGTTTAAACTCTGGACCCACACTGGCTAAATAAACAAAGAAGGTAAAAACAAACTGATTAGTTGTTATATTTTAAACCGTTTACCAATAAAGGGTTGAAAACACAATATTGGCAAGAGTAGCTAGGAAAAAAAAAGTTGATGCCACGACCGGGAGGAGAACCTGCACAAAACTACACACCAGTCTGACACCATAGTCACCCCACCACTACATCTGTTACAGTATGGTTGGTGCCACGTATCCTATCTAGTGTGTCTTTGTAGACGGATGGATGGTTTTTCTGGCGGTGTCCCAGTAGAAGTCATTTCAGAAGTCATTTTTCAGAAAATCCACAGAATATCCAGATCTGAGAACCAAGACCAGACCTGCTTCAGGGGGAGAAGAAATGCACAGTAGTGGCTTACTTTCTTCCATTTGCAGGAAAAATCTTTACATTCAATTCAGTTCAGAAATACTTTATTAATCCCAGAGGGAAATTGATTGCTGTAGTAGCTCTGAATAATAATAATAATCAAGTCATCCAAGAGTTATTGTATATTACAATGGCTGTTGGCAGGAAGGATCTCCAGTAGCGGTCAGTGTTGCAGCCAAACTGAAGAAGCCTCTGACTGAAGGCACTCTTCCGTTGTCGGACAGTCTTGTGAAGAGAATGCTCAGGCTGATTTAAATCAGAATAAAATACAAACTTTAGGCTTCAGTTAAGCTGCGTGTTTGCGTGTATCTGATGTCGGCAACAGCCGGGAAACGTTTGTGTTTTCTGAAAATAAAATGTTGCTTTTATGTGAGATCAGCTGATGCTGTTTTAACCTCCAACCCTCTCCAAAGCTGCTCTGACTTCTCCAGAGGTTTTGACCCACCCACCCACTCCTTGTTGCAACATGAAAAATAAAGTTTTCACTCTCAGTCCTGCCTCGTGTGATCATTTAAAAATCATTATTCATGTTATTAAAGCATCTCAGATGAACACATGAAGACCCGCTCTGCAACCCTCCTCTTCCTCACATGCTGCAGTTTCTGTAGCACCTGTATTTTTGGGCTCCCATGTTCACTTCTTCATTATTGTCATTTTTTAACTAATTCTTAAACTTTTTCCTCCATTTTTGATTCTGGTCTTTTTAAGTAATTATTCAGTTTGTTCTGAAGTGGAATTACTCAGACTTTGATTTCCCGAGGGGGTCATGGAAAATCAGTCTGTTTCTTTGGGAGCAAAAGTGTTCCTGAGCAGACTTTTCCTGCGTCATTCTCTAGAAAGAAGAGATCATGATAAGACAAACCTGCTGGCTGTAGTATCATTAACACTTGCCCTGGCCAGCAAATGGCATCAGATAGTTTAAAATGACCCTGTCATGACCATTTAAATGTCTCCTGTTATGTTTTTATTAATGCATATCTTCCATGAGTAGCAGTGACATTTGATTGGAAGCTGTCCCAGAAGGACGCTCCAGCTGTCAGGAGCATCTCTGCTGGATCCAACAGGAAGCTCCAGCAGATTGGATCTGAGTGACTTCCTGATTACCGGGTAAAAGTCTGGGGAGGAGAGGTTAAAGAGCTGAGATTAGAGGTCTCACACACACACACAGGTGTGGGTTGTAGATGACGGAGTGGCTTTAGGTGTGTGTTTCTGATTTCTGGCTCTGGTGTTAGTCTAAAGTCCACACTGAGTCTTTGCCAGAACCCATAAACTCCTTGGCCCTCCGTCGAGCTCTCAGGTAATGTTGCTTGTAATTGGGAGAGCCGATGATCATGATGCAGCGTTTTCTCCCAGCTGGGACACACCTTTTCTCGTGTTGAACATTTGACCCACTGAGCTTTTCATGCTGTCATCATCCGCCTGCTGAGAGTCGGTGGAGCCTGGATCCTGCCTCGGCCTTCAGGTGGTCTAAAAGACTTGAAGGTGGGAATTAAAACCATCACATCAAAAGTTGACATCAAGAGAAGTAAATGATCCCTGGGCTGCTTCATTTTTGAAGCTTTAAAAATAACTAGGACCTGTTTTATTATTGGATCTGCAGCGTGGGAGATGCCTTCAGTTTTTATTCAGCCCCTGAATCACCTGAGACTCCTGCGGCTTCGTGAGAATCACTCCCTTGAAGGCATATTTGTTCATTTTTAAGGGTTTCGGGGTTTAAGATGATGCAATTTTACCTTTTGTAGACAGCTTCCTGAACAGCCTCTGTTTAGAGAAATAGCGCTGACACCAGAACTTCCAGAATTCCAACTTCACTAGAATTTCCAGTAACCGTCAGTTTGACGGCAGCCATTTTGGCCATTAAATGCAGGCTGGTGATGACAGGAACAAAACGGTTCAAGTGTATTATTAATTAACTCTTTATGGATGTGTGAACCTAATAATGAGGTATGGAAATATCCTTTTAATCCAAACCTTGAAAAGAAGTCTCCGTTGTTTGCTGGGCGACCGACATGGATCTTTTTCGTCTGACGGCTTGTGGGAAACAAAGACAAAAACAACCGTGTTTTTGGACACATTATTTTATGGAAATTCTAACCCAAATAAAGAACAAACAGAAATAGGAAAAGCCCGGAGATCCATCTGACTAAAGTTATTACATCCAAATATGAAAACAGTCAAAACGACAGAGTTCTAGTGTTAAAGCTGCAATGACCAATTAGCCTAAAAATGGTTTTCATGCCTCCTAACGTTCTACATGAATGAATATGTTTATTTAAGTGTCATGCACAACACGTGCCCAGACCAGACAGGCTCATAAGACACTTTTAAACATAAAGAAGTGGCCGTACATTTACACAACCTTTATTTTACATCAGGGGTGGAGTAAGGGAGGCACTTATGGGGCTTAAGCCCAAGCTGTTTTTGCAGAAGCCCTGTGTCTTTTGTGATGCATGGCCATCTTGTTTTCCATCAGTTCCAGTTCTGAAGTCCTGCTTTTGAACCAATACCATTTCAGTCCTGGTGTTTGATGTTTTCTTTTCATTCATGATGGTTTGCCTTAACAGTCCTATTACGGATCAGCACCTCCAAATCTGAGGCCATGGTCCTCGACCGGAAAAGGGTGGCTTGCCAACTCCGGGTCGGGAGAGAGGTCCTACCTCAAGTGGAGGAGTTTAAGTATCTCGGGGTCTTGTTCACGAGTGAGGGTAGGAGGGATCGGGAGATCGACAGGCGGATTGGTTCGGCGTCTGCAGTGATGCGGACGCTGAGCTGATCTGTCGTGGTGAAGAGGGAGCTGAGCCAGAAAGCCAGGCTCTCGATTTACCGGTCGATCTACGTCCCAATCCTCACCTATGGTCATGAGCTTTGGGTAATGACCGAAAGAACGAGACCGCGGATACAAGCGGCCGAAATAAGTTTCCTCCGTAGGGTGGCCGGGCTCAGCCTTAGAGATAGGGTGAGGAGCTCGGACATTCGGGAGGGACTCGGAGCAGAACCGCTGCTCCTCCACATCGAAAGGAGTCAGTTGAGGTGGTTTGGGCATCTGGTCAGGATGCCTCCTGGACGCCTCCCTGGGGAGGTGTTTCGGGCATGTCCTGCCGGCAGGAGGCCCCCGGGTCGACCCAGGACACGGTGGAGAGGTTGCATCTCCAATTTGGTCCGGGAACGCCTTGAAGTCCTGCCGGAGGAGCTGGTGGAGGTGAACGGGGAGAGGACGGTCTGGAGCTCCCTAGTTGGGATGCTGCCCCCACGACCTGGACCCGGATAAGCGGAGGAAGACGACGACGAGTCCTATTGCATTCACATTAGCCACTGGATAATAGCCAGCGTCAGGGCTAAGCCCCGGGTGAATGGAATATCTGGCTCCTCCTCTGTTTTCCATAGCAGGATAAAGTACCATTTGTCTGTTTCCACGCTCTCTATAAATTTTGCTAATGTTAAAATTTCTTGGTCAAAAAGCCAACTTAACATTTCACCATCTGCAGAACAAATGAGGATTTTTACTCTGGATCTTTTCCAACAGGGACATTCTTAGATCGTTATGTGATGGACTATAAAACAAGAAATGAAATTGAACTAAGTCACATAAAACACACTGACGTCGCACCTCCGCTAACCCTTGGTGTCGCCCCACTTCAATAGAAAGAGGCTGGTGTCACGGAGTGTGCAGGTGAGTGCAGCGGAGGTGAGGATCCAAAATGCGGGCAAGAAGGCAATTTTAAAGAGTTTATTAATCATGAACACACGGGGCATGCAAACAATAGACAGACAAGGAACACAGAAGTGGGAGGGTTTAACTCTGAATGAACTGCCAAATGAAAACAGGTGCTTCTTTAAATTATTAAATTATTAGATGAAATATTAAAGCTGAGATGGTCCTAAACTAAGCAAACGAGACAAACGATGAGTTCTGAAATCAACAACCTTTCTTCCTCAAATAAATTCAGTTCAGCGACAAAATAAAGTCTCAAAGCCCTGATCTGACGAACTTATCATAACGTACAAAGTAGCAAAGAAGGTGGAAAACAAAGCCGATGCCCACTTCCGGTGTTGCTATGGAAACAGCGTAAACACGTGTCACTACCCGATCCGTACCGGAAATCCGATCGGTACCACGCATGCGTGAATGTTACGTCATTTCCTCTCTTTGCCAACCTTGCGACAGTTACCGACGGCGGAGGGGGGGGCAAGATGGCGGACTAAGCAGTCGCATCCGTCTGAACTCCTCACTGAAGTCCCGATGTTTTAATCTTGAAGTTATAAAATCCACTCCTTTGAGCTATATTGACGACGTTTCAGCCCGAACATGAAGAAAACCAACAACACGAAACCTCCGGCAGTGAAAAACCTCCCTTTTACAACCCAGAGAAACAGCAAGCATGACTACCCAGCTCCGATGGAAACGGCTGATTCCAGCAGCAACAAGAGGGACAGACTGTTAACAACCCCTGATAATACTCCTGAGAAACCACATATGGAGAAAAAAGCAAAAGGTACGGCTAGTGATAATGACTCCAACACATCCACTGACACTATACTGAAAGCTATTGAGAGTCTTGGAAAACGTGTTGATGACCGCATGGACGAAGTTAGCAAACAAATTCAACAACATAGCGCCATGCTGGCTTCCATCGCTAAATCAGTGCAGTTTAATTCAGAGGAGCTGCAAGAATGCAAAAAGAAAATAAAACACCTGGAAAAAGAGATGGAATCAATCAAAAAAGATAATGACGATATTAAGGATCGTGTATTGAGCCAGGAAAGATACAAAAGAAGATGGTGTCTTCGTATCAAAGGGAAAAAGGAGAAAACAAATGAAAATATCAGAGAAGAAGTGGTGGAACTTCTAGGAAGGATTGCTCCGGACCTAAAGATGAAGATGGAAGAAGCAGTTGATGTTGTCCACAGAGTGGGAAGAGCGGTGGAGAATAAGCATCGACAAATCATCATTCTGTTTGTGAGACGTGCCGTGAGAGATGATATCTGGAGGCGAACAAAGGCTTCTCCCGTGTGCAAAGAAGAAGGCATCCGCTTTGCTGAAGACCTGACCCCAGAGGACTGGAGAGCCAGACAAGCGTTGTGGCCAAAAATCGACCAGGCTCGGAAGGAAGGCAAGGCTGCAGGCTTCAGGGGCCCTTTTGGTTTCATAGAAGGCAAACGTATCAGGGTAGAGACTCCAGGTACGGGCTGACATCTGACTACGAAAGGAATATACAGTGGAACATTTCGGATGATGGGACTTTTACCTCAAGATTTTCCTACTCCATCTCCTAAACTTCCTCTTTAAAGCTTTTCATGTGTTCCGTGTTCCAACTAAAAACTAATATTTCTTTTTTTTCCTTTAACACAAGGGGACTTAAAGACTCAATTAAGCGCAAAGCTGTTTTTCTGTTCTGCAAGGGGCAACAGGCAAATTGTTTTTTTCTCCAGGAAACTCATTCTGAGGAATCTGATGTGAAATTTTGGTCACAACAATGGGGAGATAAAATTT